TGAATCTTCTCTTGTCCACTGATTTCTAGTCTACTCCCACAGTTGATTCGCAGTAGCATGATATCGACGAGGCTGGCCTGCGTAGCACACACCCCTCCGACGCGACAGCTTCACCTGTGGATCCACTCCCGTTGACGTCTTCTCTATGTATTTTCAAATAATCACATTTTCTTTTGAAGATGAGGTTTGTGGTTTTGCATCACCAACAAAGCAGTATTTTTATCGTGACACCGATCACTAGGTGGGTCGCGACCAGGCTGAAGAGTCCCCTACCCATGAGACGATAGCCCCCGCCGGACGCCAACCGGTATTTCACGCTCGGGAGAGCTACACAGGATACCTTGCTCAAGGTGACCTGAGGTAGTAGTGGCAAAGGGTAACCTCATTCTCCCACGTCAAAAACTCCATACCGGATGCAGAACAGTGATGGAGTGCTATGTCGCGAGCGAGCCAAATAAGAGGGGTTACCGGAAACGTATGGTAAATATCTGGAGAAGTAGAAATCTTGCTCAGGTATCAGAGCAAAGACTGCTAGACCAAGTTAGGCAAATAAGACTGAAGGGTTGGATAACAGAGTTAGAGATGGAGGAGATCAAGAGACAGAAAACAATTGAAGGCAACAGAGGTGACGATGAAAGCCAGGGTGAAAGTGTGGAAAGCGATGCTAACAACAGACGCGAAGAAATACAAATAGAATATGATGATAATGTACAGCAGAATAATGAGACAGGAGCAGCTGAAAATGGTGCTAGAAATTTTGACGATGAGGAATTTTCAGACGAGGAAATAGCGATCGCTGAGAGGCTTTTTGAAGTACTACACCAACCTGAAAGGACAAAGCTACCTGCTCTGAGAGGTCTAAATAAAAGTTCTGTCAAAATAGAAGTTGAAAAGATGAATAGCTTGCTGGGTAAAATAAGAAGCGAAAATATCACCGCGACCAATGATTTGTTATATGCAGCATCAGTTGTTACAACTGAGAGATTAGGTGTAAAGATCACTAGAAAGAAGAGGCAAGGAGAACCTATGTGGAAAAGAAGGTTGCAGAAGCAAGTAAAATACTTGAGGAAAGATTTAAGCCGAGTTGAAGAGTTAAGAAAAGGGAAAACAATTAAGACAAGATTTCAAGAACAGTTACAGAGAAAGTATTGGTTAAAAGAAAAGGGTCTCATAACAGTAAGTGAAGAACTAAAACAAAGGATTACAGCTAAATCAGGAAAAATTACAAGATATCAAGCTAGAATAGATCAATTTAGACAGAATCGACTGTTTCGGGAAAACCAAAGTCGGTTCTATGATGAATTGAATGGCGGAGAGAGAAATGAAGTACGACCTGAAAAGGAAGAAACTATGGAATTTTGGAAGGATATATGGAGCAAACCAACACGGCACAATGAAAACGCAGAATGGCTGCAGGACTTGAAGGAGGAAATTAAAATTGACAGGCAAAATGATGTTGTGATTACCAGGGAAAAGGTAGAAAAGGTTGTTAATAAAATGCCAAACTGGAAATCACCAGGACCTGACTTAGTTCAGGGCTTCTGGTTGAAAAGATTTACTAATCTGCATGGGAGAATTACATTGCAGCTCAACGAGTGCTTGAGGAAAGGAAATGTACCAAAATGGATGACTAAAGGAAGAACAGTTTTGATAGTCAAAGATCCACAAAAAGGAAGGGTGCCTAGTAATTATCGTCCAATAACGTGTCTCGCTATGTGCTGGAAATTGTTGACAGGAATATTGGCAGGTGAGATTTATTCTTTTATGGAGGCTAAGAATGTATTACCAGAAGAACAAAAGGGTTCGAGGAAAGGATGTAGGGGGTGCTTAGACCAATTGTATATTGACAAGAAAATCATGAAGGAAGTGAAGCAAAGAAAGAAGAATATTGCAATGGGCTGGCTGGATTATAGAAAAGCTTATGATCTAATCCCACATTCATGGTTGAAGGAATGTTTGAACATGTTTGGAGCTGCAGAGAATGTAAAAAATTTGCTGACCAACAGTATGAAGGAATGGAGCACCATGTTGACATCTTGTGGGGAAGCGATTGGTGAGGTAAAATTTGCCAGAGGAATTTTCCAAGGAGACAGTTTATCACCATTAATGTTTGTGATTGCTATGATACCACTAACGTTAGTACTGCGTAAAATGAAAGCGTCCTATAAGTTCAGTTCAAATGGAGAGCAGATAAATCATTTAATGTTCATGGATGACATCAAACTTTATGCGAAGAATGAAAGTGGACTAGATGCATTGATACAGTCTGTCAGAGTTGTTAGTAATGATATAGGTATGGAATTTGGAGTAGAAAAATGTGCAGTGTTGGTTATGAAGCGAGGGAAAGTAGTCGAGTCTAATGGCATTGACTTACCAAATAAGGAAACCATTAGGTCTATACACGAGGAAAATGGTTATAAATACCTTGGAGTTATGGAAGCTGATCAAGTATTAGGTGAAAAGATGAAAGAAAGTCTAAAGAAAGAATATAAGAGAAGAGTGAAAAAGATACTGAAATCTAAGCTTAATGGAGGCAATATGATAACTGCCATAAACACTTGGGCTGTTTCAATGATGAGATACACGGCACCTTTCGTTGACTGGAGAAAGGATGAGCTGAAAGAAATAGATCGGGGTACTCGTAAAATGATGAATATGTACAGATCACTGCATCCAAGAGATAGTGTAGCAAGACTCTACCTACCCCGTAAAGAAGGAGGACGAGGACTTGTAGAAATTGAGGATTGTGTTCAGCTCGCAATTTTGGGGCTTGAAAACTATGTTCAGGATAGCAAAGAGAGGATATTGTCATCAGTGAGATGCGAGGCAGGAGAAAGAGTGTCAGAGAAAGATTTCAAGAAGCGAAGAAGAGAAGAGAGGCGATCAGAGCTAGAAGAAAAGGCGTTACATGGACAGTTTTTCAGGCAGACAAAAGAAATAAATGACCCAGAGTCATGGGGATGGCTCCGGGACGGGGAATTGAAAAAGGAGACTGAAGGACTGATAATGGCGGCGCAGACCCAGTCATTGCGAACAAATGCAATTAAAGCAAACATCGATAAGACGCAGAGGGACTCGAAATGTAGAATGTGTAATCAGAAAGAGGAAACAATAAGCCACATTGTCAGTGAATGCCCAAAACTGGCACAGAGAGAGTATAAACGTAGACATGACTGTGTAGCGAAAGCCCTCCATTGGGATGTCTGTCGCCTGTATGACATAGATTGTGGAAATAAATGGTACGAACATCAACCAGATGGAGTGGTAGAAACAACAAATGTAAAGATTCTCTGGGATGTCAATATTCAAACAGACAATGAAATCCAGGCAAGGAGACCTGACATAGTGGTTGTCAATAAGAAAGAAAGGAAGTGTTACATCATTGATGTTGCAGTCCCGGGAGGTGAGAATAGCTGAAAAAGAGATAGAGAAAATCGAAAAGTATGACGAATTAAAGAGAGAAGTGGAAAGATTATGGAAAGTGAAAGCAAAAGTTATTCCTATTGTCTTGGGAGCCCTTGGAACAGTAACACGAAATTTGAGCAACTACATCAAGGAAATTGGAGTCAAGACGCAGATAAAACTAATACAAAAATCTGTACTTTTAGGAACTGCAAGAGTGTTGAGAAAAGTTCTCGAGATCTAAGATCATGGGTATTGATCCGATTTCAAGAAACATCAAGAACAAGCCAGTTATAACATCAGAACTGTGTACATCAGCATAATAATAATAATAATAATAATAACAGTTTTAATAACGGATGTTGACAGATCCACATAACATGGCTATTCTTTGTTAAACAATAAGTAAAATATTGTCCTTAGTTTAAGAAATATTGTCCTGAAAAGATGTTACAAAAGTGTCTATTAAATACGTTGAAATAAAAGGAAAAACATTTTCCTGAACTATCTTAATGCATCGTACAATTAAAAACGGTTTATTCAATTTATTGAAAACGCTGCAATTTTATTCTTAAATAGTTTTTCGATGATGATACAAATTTACTACATACACTACAGCTCCTTATGTTTTCTGGCAAAGAGTCTTGCTGCATTATCCTGGAAAGTTACGGTTGTTTCTTTTGGTACATTAGTGTTTTGGCTTTGTTTGATCGAAGCTCTCTGGTAAATTTTTTCTCGTCTAGAGGCAAGGGAACTCTTCATTAACTTTTGCATGTGTATAGTCAAAAAGAAAAGAAACTTGCATCTGGACGACATCTGTAAACCCTCTAATCTATATATCTGGCTTTTTTAAAATATAACCAACTTCGTTCGTTTTAGAGTAGACAAATAAAGTATTTCTAGACAGAATTATATTCAACATAGTTAAGGTGGACTTCCACACCACGGTATGGACGGAAAACGGTATACTGTACTAGGGCCCTAGACGCACCGAACAAGATTTCAGGCTAAGGGTTCAAGACGTGTCGAAGAGGTTGCAGGATAATGTAATTTATTAACTAACTTCCAATAACATAAGATACTTACGTAATTTTTGTCATGTTTACGTCTTGGTTAAATCACGATAAGATGATATTCGTCTTTTGAGATTCATTGATCAGAGCAAGAAAAGACGCCCTGCCGTCGCCAATCAAGACTTCGAGGTAGTTCGTTATCAATTCTTCATTAGTTAAATAGAAGCTAAAATATTCAATTTAGCACAAACACCAGTCTTAGAATGCTGATTAACAGATGAATTTTTGATCGATATAGCAAGAAGAATGTAGTTTAGAAAAGCAAGCGGGACATTAAAATCCAAACCATTGCGCCACACGATTCAATGGTGTTTTATTCCAAAACGCTCTTCTTGTACCTGCTGCATTTTCATGAATTTGCTTCTGGTGAGAATGCACAGTTTGAGCAGCAGCAGATTTAAAATGTATTCAAGAAAGGGGATTGGGTCGTTGCTCACAAAAGTTTCGATTTCTGGAGGACAAATGTAGGACGGACTTAAAGTTAGATATGAGAAAATCACAATGGCGCTGGATAAAGGGAGTAAAGATGTTTGCTTTAGGTGCTTAGGGTAATCTTGTTGAAGACCTTTGATGCAATACTCTTGATACAAAGATGCAGTTCTGATACAGGTCTGATAAAGCTCTTGCAACCACAGGCTCTTGAATTATCTTTAACCGGGTGTAGCATTTAGAATAGGATTTTGGATAGACTTTTGCATGGAGACAGATCCACATATTATACCAGCCGTAGACATTTGGTAAACCATTTTTGCCTACACAGTATAGCATCATCGTCTTTCCATTGACCACACCGAAAGTATGAAGAAATGGTGCGTGTTTAATGTCTTAGACGTTTACGGGAACGCAGACTGCACTTACCGCAAATACACAACTGGCGACCGGAAGCTAATCAATTAAGGAAGTTTTAGGTGGGAACTTATGCGAGGGTGGCTTATGCTAAGAGAGGTATTTATAATAATCATTTCCAAGCTGCCATGTAAATAGTTTGTTTTGTAGTTTTTTCAAAATTTTAAGGCAGTTTATTTGCAAGTTTACTTGATAATTCTTTACCTTGATAAAGGTATAAATCCAAGCGCAAAAAGATATCTTGAACCAAAATATTGATATGTCCATTGTCTCGATTAAGCACCAATGGGGACTTATTTAACGCTAAAATTGGCATTTCAAGATAAAGGAGGCTTTTACTAGAGCGCAATTCAAGTGTTTACAGCAAATACAATGCCAAAAAACATCTTGATTGGTCTGAAGCACAAGCTAGACAATGACAAGATTTTGAGAGACAGATTAATTTTGGGAAAAAGTTCGGAATCGTTGTAGCTATACCCGCTGTAAAAAGATCTAGGTATAAATGTGATGAAGAAAATTGTTGAAAGAGCAACAACTTTTAGTGTACTTTTCTAAGATGCCGAAAAATGAACTCTTTGACAAGAGTGATTTAAGACATGGAAAATGTGGATTTGAAGAAAATTGAAAGAGAAGAGATAAAAAGAAATGATTGTCGACAAGAAAGTTCTACACAAGCAAACAGTAAGAAGAACTGAAACGTCCATCAGATAAACTCATCTCCATAGCCGCATTTAAACGAACCCGAAGACAGATTAGTAGCTTGGAAACCATAGCTTGGAAACCAGTAGAAAGACACTGAAAGCTTGGCAAATAACCTGTGACATATGTCCACTTCAAATCGTTTGCATCAGATCAGTGGATCGTAAGGGGAAAAACTGGCTGGAGATGGACTAAAAGAAAATGATTAATTCGATAATTCGCATTGAAAATTATTGTTCAGGTTTATCAAATCAGTAAAAAGCCCGAAGCAAAAAAATTTGAATATATCTCTCCTCTCATAAATCCTGACAAAGAAGAAACTTTATTGTACAGCCATGGTTATCACCCCAAATATTATTTTCTTTAAATTACTGGAATGAAGACGCTATCAAAATTTCAAATCCAGGCTTTTTGTGCTAGATTTGGAGTAAAAAAAGGTGTTTTAGGACAAATCAGTACCTCTAAGAAATCTTTTTCGCGGTTGATTAGTTTTTAAACTATTAAAGTTATTAGTTATGAAAGTAATTTATGGGAAGTTTTTAAAATTTTCCTTTTCAACTCCTATCTGGAATCGTGTTGATATAAAAGAACATTTACCGGATATAATGAAGTATACAATAAAGACATCTTTAAAATAGGTTTGAAAAAGCAAACATTTTATAACATATTGGCCTTTAGAAGTTTTTCGTCGGACACTCCTTAGATCATAAAACGCCAGAATAAAGATCCGAAAGAACACGATAAAAAATATACCCAGTTATGGGTATATATCCACTAATTTTTGCAATAATTATTTGAGTAACAGTTAAAGATAATAGACACAAAGCAATATTTTACATGCAAAACATATCAATGATATATCGTGCAGTTATTTCTTTTTGTCATTAGCAAAAGATACCCTGTCAGAAGGATTTATCTTAAATAAATAAATTTCATGGTATCTCAGCCTCAGCTTGTTCCTAAATTTCATTTTTGATTTGGACCAATTTTGAGGCTCGTGTTCATATAAAGCCGTTCTCTGTACAAGAAACTGTATATGAATTGATAATGATTGCGTTTTCAAAGATAAAAGTTTACTTCAAAGGAAACCAAAACAAGGTAAAACGAAAACATTTCGTTAATAACATAACTGACAATAAATCTTTCAGATAATTTTTTTCGTGCTGATTCTTAATTTACAATACTGAACTTTCACAGTGCAATGTTCTGTCAACTCTGCAAGGAATTAAGCAAAATTAGGCCAAACTTAAATACAACCCTGACCAAGAGTTTAACTGGTCAATGGTTGGTGTAGTCCACTCTGCAGGCTATTGAAAAGTCAAAGCCTTACAAAAACTCATATTGCATTTCAAACCCCCAATTTGACAACGCTCTTCACTTTTCAAAACTTTTCCTCAGAATGTTCGCATCATTTTCATCTAACTTCATCGTCATTTACGTGAACTGTAGCCTGCATGAGAGAAAAAGCCCGTTTATCGACTGACAGATAATACCTCATGATTGTTATTAATTTTCTTGTACTTTCTCTTTTAAGATTGCTTTTGAGATTTGGCTATTTATTTTTTGGTTCAATCGAACATATTTTTCAACATACTTTTTTTATAGTTACATATCTTACATATTTTTCAACAGAATATTTTTTATAGAAAACCTTAACATTTCTAACATATAAAGTTTTTAAAACGGCCTATTTGTACCACAATTTATTGTAAAATGGCTTGCTATTGTCACCAAAGACAAATTAAAAATTTAAAAAATAGAAATAAAGTAGAAAATCCCAGTTGCTGGCTTTATGAATCGTAAGACAAACAAATGGCCGCAAAAAGCAACAAAGACAAATAAGGATAAGTTGCAAACACAAAACAAGGAAAGCTTACCAGACAAAACAAATACCACTGAAAAGTCCTCTGATCAACTTTATAAAAAAACACAAACCTTCAAACTTTAAGGTTGAAATACAGAGAGTTTGGCAATAATAATACGTCGTACTTAAACGTCAAAAAATATCTTGTCCAAAACATATTTTGGAAAAAAGCATTTGGAGTATTGTCAATCATACCTGTTTTGTAAACAGAGTTTCTCCAGGTTCCACCACAATACATTCCAGTGCTATCTCGGCATATTGACGAACAAGTGCTTTCGTCACCTTTCCCGTAGATGTTGTATGATGATCCACAAAAACATTCCTTATGGTTTTGTAGCCCTGCGTATGCCTGATTGGATGCGAAACAAGCCTGAATGCAGTTGACTGTAAGGTGCCCTACCGAAATGTCTAGCTGTTTTGCATATGGAAGTGCTCTGGTAAATGTATCTATGTAGCAGCCAGTGTAATCTAGAGCTGAAAACACTAAAAGAAAATGGAATAAACCTTAAACGGGAATGGGCACAAAAAAGTTCAAGCGCCCGGAATAGCGAGAGAAGAATTTTGAATCGCTTTAATATCTGTGAATTCTCTTTTCCTTTATCTTCTCCGTCTTTTTCTGCTTTATGCTTATAAACGTTTAAGTTAACGGGATTGCAAACTATAAAAATTAAGTTGAACTTAAGGGTGCACTTATTTTTTGTAAAATATACATGTTCTTTATTTTAGCTAAAAAGCACTGAGCTCAAATATCTTGAGCGATTGATCGATCGTTGTGGTCGATTGCAATGATTGATTGATTTGGGGATTAAGTGGCTGATTGAAGTGACTTAGTAAATGATTGTAATATAGAGATTGATTGATTGAATGACTTAATAAAATGTGATCAGGGGCGGACTTGGTCAGAATTATTAACCGGCCATGAAGAACTGAGAGGAGCCCAGGTGGGTGCAGTCTGGAAATTGGGGCGTGGTCAAGTGAACACTTCATCAAAATCGTTCAATTTCTGAGCAAGATAACATATGTAGCTGGAATAGCAAAGTTGCGCTGTTGATTACAAATGGGTGCAGAGTACTATAAATGAAATTTAACATTACATAATGAAAATTCGGTCTGATTTTGTTTTCAGTAATTTTGTGCAAGTTACCTTCTTGTAGAAGACAAAATTAGAATAATAAGAGAACTAACCTCAGATTCATAAAGGATAGTAAGTTTAAAATGAAAGGATGACTGAGGTGTGAGGAATCTTCATCCCTAATACAATGTTGGCAGACCTTATATCAAACTACAAAGGATAGTATACTGAATTTTTCTTGCAGAAAGTGTGGTTCCCATGAGGAATACATTGAACGCTTATTGGATTGTCCAAATTTCTATCGAAAACCCAAAATAGAAAAGACTTTTTTAGCGACAAATCAAGCCAAAATTTTGAGAAAAGCAAAAAAAACTTTAACTCAAAATAATGGTTTGTTTATTCGTAGGACCGAACTTGTTGTACCCAGTTGCGGGGTAACTGCTTCAAAATGAAGATTTAGCTTTCTTATTATCATTATCACAGGTTCTATGGTAATTGTTGTGGCCAGATTGTAGATGTTTTCAGCAAATTCGTTTTCTATACAGCTGTACGAAAATTTCATATCTTAATCCTAAGAAGATCATAGCTAAATCATAACAGGAAGGTTCCCTTGAATTTTTGGTAATCATCCCCTAAATTGGTTTGCTTTCTGTATTTCAGACTTAATACGTGCTTATATACGATATTTTTTACAAAACTTTAGCATTTCAATCAAATACTACCAAAAGTTACATTTCTTTCCTTTGCATTCAAAGAAACCAGTGACCAGTCCTGTCCTCTTTTTGACTTTTTGCAACAACTTTGACTTCTTTTCTGAGAACCACTTGCAACTCAAAGTTTATTCGCCCACTATGTGCAATTTGTTTAATTCTTGTCATTTTCTTGACATCATTTTATGTCAATTTTTCCTTCCATGAAGCAATACCTTTATAGACAGGGCATATGCTCTAAGAATCTAACAAACATGCTAACCGTTGTTTTCTCAACAGATCCCGCTAAACTAAGATCTAAACTTGAAAATTTCGATTTGTACCTTTTCAGAAAATCCTTTGTTGTCAAATGATCGGTGACGTCATTTTGGTATAATTTCTGTGTTTAAATGGTCATAACACGATGGTTATTCGTCAAATGACATTTAAACTTACATAGGATGAAAGATCTCAAAGAGTTCTTTTGATTAATATACACATATTCACTATTTTGTCGGCATTTTTGTAATCACGTGACCTTGAAAGTTTCAAGCGTTTAAATGGTCATAACTTGGTCGTTATTCGATATATGACGATGAAACTTGAATGGAATGCAATATTTCAAAGAGCTCTATTGATTGATATATTCAGTTTATGCTGATGCCAGCATTTTTTAATCACTTCACCCCGAAAAAATTAAAGTAAAAATTACAAATATTCCTAAAAATAATCTTGTTTTCTCCATCAATGTTCTTTTTTCTCAAAATACGTGACAGATTTCAAGCAAGGAAAAAATGAGATTGTGAGGCCATACAAAAGAAGCAGCCACAACTTGTCAGAAACTAAGAAAAATGGTGTAGTCCCACTCGCAATGCACTTGGCGTTGCAATACAGGCATGTACCAGGAGAGATCTGTTCCTTTTCTAATGTATCTAATAAGCATCCAGAGACCGAAAAGAGATGCAGGAGCTGATGGCCATTGGGGGCACGTGCCATCATCCCACTTTTCACAAATGTTCAAAGGAGCTCTCAACATTTTGAAAACGTGTCCGTTAACACCTGAATAAAACAAATTTTTCCTTAAATTTTCCGATTATATAACACAAGCTATTTCTTCTCACATTCTGTCTTACCCTGTAAGGACCTCCCTTCCCTTTGCCCGTCTCTGTCTGCAATGGATTTGCATCGAAGGGGCCGGGCGCACCTGTATGTGCATTGAAGTTAAAATGGAATGTCCTCGTCAAACCTGACAAATCAAAGAAGAGGATTTCGACATTGGTAAATTTCGTTGTCTAGAGACCAAATTGCCTTAGTATTCCAAGGTCTAGGGGGCCCCACAAAGTAATGAATGGAATCAATCAAATCTTAACAAATGCATGCCTAAAGGATAGCGACACGCTTTAGCCAATTGCAAGAAAATGACTACAAGAAATATTCTGAAATCTACTTGAGCTTATCTAAAAGGCGTGGTCGCTGAAATTTTCTGCTCGCTTTACCCGCAGGGGACCTCTTTAAGATTTCCCATAGTGCTACTGGGTCCTCTCGCATGGTTCTGTTCAGGAACTGCTCCTGATTGCCTCAAGGCAGTCTGATGGAACCCTTGAGGGATTATCCAAAAGTTGACAATTCTAGCAAGAAATAATTTTGCTGGGCACGAAAATTCACATGGGTTGTACAGATAATACTTCCAGATGCACGCTAAGATTTATCTATCAGCCCCTTCAAGTGAATCTCCAGCAGAAATATTAATTTCGGTCCAGTTTCAATTCATGTCTTAAGTGAATAATGATTGAAAAGAGATGTAAAAATTTACTTCTTCTTAATATACAAAATACAGAACAGAAAAAATAGATATAGCTGAGATAGCTAAAGATAGCGAAACGTAAGTAGATAATATGTTTTGTAAATTTTAGAATTTTTTACAATCTTAATAATCTATATCTGCTCAGTTCTATATTTTATTGCCATTTTTCTCAGTTCTATGTTTTATTTCCATTTGTAAACAAAGAGTTTTGATTGAAGTGCCCTAAAGCTCCTGTGTCCCTACCTGCCATATGCTTCCTACGTCTTTGAGACCGAAGATTATATGGGGTTTTATGGAAGTGCAGAGGAAACTGTAATGGAAGCAGAAGCAACAGTGTTGAGAAAGTGACTTCATATCTAATGAAGATCACGTTTCTATCTCGGGGCAAAGGTTGCAATGCAAGTTGTAGAGCGAACAGGTAGATTCATCGGTGCAACCCTAACACGAAGGGGTTACTATGCTAGTTAAACAAAAGCCAAGAATATAAATGCTATTATGGAGGGAATGGACAGCAAAAGTACCTTTTGCCCACTTTAAGCCGATGCACCAGTCCTACCTAAAAGCATTCAAGCATAAATAGCATAAAATATGTTCAAAGGTATACGGAGTTTCCATGATACTGGAAAAAGAGACTAAAGCAATTAGAAAACAAAAAGGCTTTTTGGGTTAGTTTTTTGTTGTTTTTAGAAAAAGCGAACAGCACTCTGGTACTAATGCTTTACCAAGCAAAGTTTACCGTACGCTTTGTTGAGCCCATAAATACCCCTACATCAACCAAGGGAACAGAAATGCCAGTAAACCGCATACCTTACCCTGGTATTCTAAACCAAAAACCATAGGACCAAGACTCCACAGCATTGCGCGCTATTCTTGTTGAATGGATAACAGTAATAACTTGAAGAAGCACGTGGCAAGAGATCTAACGAATCGGAAACAAATATCAACTAAAGGCGAATCAATTAAAGGACAAGCTCCCCTCATGAAATAACTCCGATTTCCTCTAATCATCATCATAGTAACCATTTACCGTGAATAGTGGAAAAAGTTTTTCTAAATCACGTGATAGCAGAAATGCTGACATCAGCAATTTTTGAGATATTGCATTTCATCGTCATATATCGAATAACGACCAAGCTATGGCCATTTAAACACTGGAAACTTTAAAGGTCACGTGATTACAAAAATGCTGACTTAAGCAAATAGTTAATATGTATATATCAATCGAAAGAGCTCTTTGAGAACTTTTATTTTATGTAAGTTTTAATGTCGAGTTTAATGACGAGTAACCATTTAAACACTGAAATTTTACCAGAAATGACGTCACCAATCACGTGATAACAAAGGATTTTCTGAATAGGAACAAATCGAAATTTTCAAGTTTAGAGCTTAGTTTAACGGGATCTGTTGAGAAAACAAAGGTTAGCAGGTTTGTTAGATTGTTAGAGCATATACCCTGTCTATTACCCGTTCGTGTTATATACTAAACAGTCAATCGCAAGAAAAATTCGGTAGAAGAATCTTTAAGAAGATGCAGCAGCCCCCGTTGAATTGAAGTATCATTTGTATTCCATCATCTTAATGCCATGGCTTGAGTAAAATAAATAGTTAACGCCGGAAGTTGTTTTAAAGTTAACTACTGAATCACAACTCCTTACTTTGTTGCTAGCTTAGACCCTCGCCGTAGGCATAAATTTAAGTGAACTCTGCAACTAATGCTGTGCATGTGAACTGAACCTGGGTCTATGAAAAATTCCAGAAAATTCCATCATATTAAAAGTTTCAAATCCCTATTAACCTTCCAAAACTTTCCAAGTGATACTTTTTCAACTTTGACCCAATACTTTTTACAACCACATGCAATGACGCTATATTCAACCTCAGTTTTGATGTAATCCATGATGTAAATTATTCGTAATAGGACATCATAAGGCCTCATATTCCTAAAATGGTGCCCTTTTTCTGCAAAGATGGGACCTTATTTGCCAGAATTTTAGGAAGGGTCAGCCACTGAGTGTGATGACTGATTGATTGATTGATTTGGGGAGATTAAGTGCTTGATTTAAATGACTGAATGATTGTTTTCAGTGATATATGGATTTCAACTATTCTTCAGTTTATCATCAAGTTGCATAACACACTTTCACTACTCATTTTTATCAAACGAAAATAAAAACGAAAAAATAGACGGCCAAGAGAAAGGCAATTTTACCAGTTTTGCAAAGTGGATCTCCGTATCCTTCAACGCATTTGCATGTATATCCGTTGACACCGTCAACGCAAGTGCCTCCATTTTGACACGGGCTGCTGGCACATTCATTGATGTCTATAAGAATAAGCATGTTAACTCAGGAACACATGAAATGAAAGAAAAAGCTTGCCAGAATTATTGTAAGCAAATATACTTGCTGTAAAACTTTTGAATTTGAATTTCTGTATTATCTTATCAAAAATATCACTTGCTGCTTATAAGCGAAAAAGTGCCATTCTTTAAAAGTGTTGTCGAAACCGACACCCTAACCATCAGAGTATCAAAACTTCAATCAGTGTATCGGAAGAATGCAACTAGAAAATAAGCCATATTATCAGGGGCGCAGTGGCTGGGGGGGGCAGGGGGGGCAGCCGCCCCCCCTGGCAAAAAATTTGTCGGATTGTCGGAAAATCCAACGTTTGTCGGAAAATTTGAAATATTAGACAAAATGTAAGGTTTTCATCGATCCTGTCCAAAAGGTCGTATATTTTTTTAAACCTTTCGTAAAATAGGGCATGATCAACCCTTCTTACTCATTTTCATTAGAGTATTTATCGGAATCATCGCATTGCTGAAATTTGTAAAGGAAATTAACGCTCTGGTCTCAGTTATTTTATAAACTCCCATTTCCGACAGTTAAAATTCAACTCAGTTCATTTCGAAATGAATTCGCTGGTGTTGTAGAAGACGCAAAAAGTTATTATTTTCGCCATGACTTAGAAGAGAAAAATTTTGTCGAGCGACGAATACGCAGAAAGAAAAAGATGCCAAGGGAAAATTGCATAGATGAATTAGAGGGGAATAGGGAATCTGTATATCATTGTGATAGTGGATACAGCTATCAGCTCAATGAATACAATATTTACGTCTCATAAGGCAATTTTGACAGATTTTGCCTTGCTCAACCCTGAATGTTTTCAAAAAACAATTGAAAGGCAGTTGTGTGCAGTGTAATTCAAAAAGGTTGCGAAGAATTACGGCCTGGATGACGAAAAATTAAGAGATGAGTACAGCTCTTTCGCCAATAATTACCGTAAATTTTGGAAAGTTAGAGAAAAGAGCAACCCTCTCCTGGCTGCAGAAGAAAGAGAAAACTTTTCAGTTCCATTCAGTTCTTCAGTTGATGATAAGTATAACCTGCAAAGTGCCTTTCCACAGCTGGTCCTTCTTTACAAGGTTCTCTTCACTTTGCCAATAGGTTCAACAAACTATGAAAGAGCTTTTTCAAAGCTGAGGATTGTAAAAAAATCGGCTACGGTCAACGATGGGACAAGACCGCCTTTCCTCTCTGATAACAATCAACGTCGAAAGTGATATTTTACAGTCGATAGACTATGGTGACATCATCGATTTGTATGCTGCCACACCTCTTTTGAGAAAGATGCTGCTTGAGTAACAGTTTATATAAATTCAGTTAAAAGAAAACTATTCTTTTGGACGCGTTGTATCTATTTAAGGTTTAGCATAAATAAATGCAAAGTAATTATGATGCGATTTAAAACTTGCCAAAAAAACTTTTTGCTATAAACAGCTATAAACACTGACTTGACAGTTTATTGTTTAATATAGCGAGAAGACTTGTAGGGTGTAAATTTATAACTAGTTGCAGTTTTGTTCATAGCGATTTATATTTGATAAGTTTTGTTAGAATAAAGGCCATTGTTGAACTTGAAGGTGTATAACGAACGATCCATTCGTTAACGATTTCGAGATCCATTCGTGATATTGTAGTATCAAGTGTTGCAGTATATGCAGCAAGGATAATCTTCAAGGAATGTATTGAGAAAAAATTTGTCGGAAAAATCATAGTTTTTTTCGGAAAATTTTCAGCTTTGCCCACCCAAAAAGTTAACTCCCACTGCGCCCCTGCATATTATCTAATAATAAATTATCATTTTCTGTCAGATGAGCAAAAACTAAACATCACAAATTCATTTTGCTCCTTCAGGTCAATTTTAGGATGTTTGTTCAATTATTAAAAGCATTTAAGCACTATGAATATTTTGAGCTAATTCACAAAAGGCTTGTGGAAAGCTTGATTTTGAGTGTAAATTAAAAACTGGAAAATTAGTAAGTTTAGAGAATATTTTCAAATCACTCCACAATTTGCGGCGCAGCGTCCGGGTATTCAAGGTATTCAGTGGATACCCTGTAATTTTTCAGAAAAATTATTTATACGACGTAAAAAAGTAATAACTTGAAAATGCTTAGGTGAGTATTGATTCGGGTTGAATTTGTTGCCTTCGATACGTTGTATTTCGTAAAAGTTCAAAATATCACGAAATTCATGGGAAAGTAAGACAGCGATAACACTGCGAAGCATCGAGAAGCTGTGAGATCTTTGAAGCTAATTTTGAAGATTGAGCTACGTTATGTTGAATTGAGACTGGTCATTAATACGCAGAGGTACCCTAGACGCCAGATGGTACTTCAACCAATCATATTGCTCCTTTCCATGAATAATAAATACCGTTGATTAGCTAAAACAATGAGAAATATGCAGCGTACAGCCTCAAGTTTGGCTCAAAATAGTCTCGCTTTTAGAGCGATATAAACAGTTAATGGACGTCGTAGCGGTGCGACAGCGGTGGTTGCAGTGATGGAGCTTCATCGAAATCAGTAAATATGGCTATGTCTCGAAAAACTATTGCAAATGACGTCTGTATGTCCGTATTACTGTTTCATCATCATTCTCCTATTTTACCCATAATCTACCAACAGCAAAGAGCAAAGGAGAGGTAGACTACGCTTAGTTCTGTGCCCTGAAAGTGCCAATTTTGTTATTACTTGTCAGCCCTTGTCAGTCAGGGATGCTTCAGTTGGTATTACGTGATAAAATATAAAACATGCAGAGAAGCTTGGATGATTTCCTTGGTGCATGCATGTTTATTATTGGCCTATTTTGTTTGCATTATTCTACATACCACAAACTATTTATAACTCATGTAATGCCCTGTTTGAATAATTTCGAAACATTCGAACCCGATTTGCATTAAGGTATCAAAAGTAGGTGTTTAATTTTTTTCCTCTTTACATCAGTACATATTTTAGAGAATTCAACAACAACTATTGCGACATATTTCGACCAATAAATTATTACTGACTTTCAATGAGATGTTTTGATTTGAATTACTTTTGATGATGAAATGGCTAGCGGTTAATTGATGTAACTGATGAGTTTGAACATGGACTATGGTTTGAAAATGTCTATTTGTATAATGATTGATTGACTTTAGTGATTGATTGATTGATTAATTGATTGACTGATTGATTGATTGATTGATTGATTGACTTTAGTGATTGATTGATTGATTGATTGATTGATTGATTGATTGATTGATTGATTGATTGATTGATTGATTGATTGATTTGGGGGCGAATAAGTGCTTGATTTGAATGACTGTTTAAATGAATGATTGTTTTCAGTGATATATGGATTTCAACTATTCTTCAGTTTATCATCAAGTTGCATAACACACTTTCACTACTTATTTTTATCAAACAAAAATAAAAACGAAGAAATAGACGGCCAAGAGAAAGGCAATTTTACCAGTTTTGCAAAGTGGATCTCCGTATCCTTCAACGCATTTGCATGTATATCCGTTGACACCGTCAACGCAAGTGCCTCCATTTTGACACGGGCTGCTGGCACATTCATTGATGTCTATAAGAATAAGCATGTTAACTCAGGAACACATGAAATGAAAGAAAAAGCTTGCCAGAATTATTGTAAGCAAATATACTTGCTGTAAAACTTTTGAATTTGAATTTCTGTATTATCTTATCAAAAATATCACTTGCTGCTTATAAGCGAAAAAGTGCCATTCTTTAAAAGTGTTGTCGAAACCGACACCCTAACCATCAGAGTATCAAAAACTTCAATCAGTGTATCGGAAGAATGCAACTAGAAAAAAAGCCATATTATCTAATAATAAATTATTATTTTCTGTCAGATGAGCAAAAACTAAACATCACAAATTCATTTTGCTCCTTCAGGTCAATTTTAGGATGTTTGTTCAATTATTAAAAGCATTTAAGCACTTTGAATATTTTGAGCTAATTCACAAAAGGCTTGTGGAAAGCTTGATTTTGAGTGTAAATTAAAAACTGGAAAATTAGTAAGTTTAGAGAATATTTTCAAAATCACTCCACAATTTGCGGCGCAGCGCCCGGGTATTCAAGGTATTCAGTGGATACCCTGTAATTTTTCAGAAAAATTATTTATACGACGTAAAAAAGTAATAACTTGAAAATGCTTAGGTGAGTATTGATTCGGGTTGAATTTGTTGCCTTCGATACGTTGTATTTCGTACAAGTTCAAAATATCACGAAATTCATGGGAAAGTAAGACAGCGATAACACTGCGAAGCATCGAGAAGCTGTGAGATCTTTGAAGCTAATTTTGAAGATTGAGCTACTTTATGTTGAATTGAGACTGGTCATTAATACGCAGAGGTACCCTAGACGCCAGATGGTACTTCAACCAATCATATTGCTCCTTTCCATGAATAATAAATACCGTTGAAAAGCTAAAACAATGAGAAATATGCAGCGTACAGCCTCAAATTTGGCTCAAAACAGTCTCCCTTTCAGATCGATATAAACAGTTAATGGACGTCGTAGCGGTGCGACAGCGGTGGTTGCAGTGATGGAGCTTCATCGAAATCAGTAAATATGGCTATGTCTCGAAAAACTATTGCAAAGGACGTCTATATGTCCGTATTACTGTTTCATCATCATTCTCCCATTTTACCCATAATCTACCAACAGCAAAGAGCAAAGGAGAGGTAGACTACGCTTAGTTCTGTGCCCTGAAAGTGCCAATTTTCTTATTACTTGTCAGTCAGGGATGCTTCAGTTGGTATTACGTGATAAAATATAAAAAATGCAGAGAAGTTTGGATGATTTCCTTGGTGCATGCATGTTTATTATTGGCCTATTTTGTTTGCATTTTTCTACATACCACAAACTATTTATAACTCATGTAATGCCCTGTGTGAATAATTTCGAAACATTCGAACCCGATTTGCATTAAGGTATCAAAAGTAGGTGTTTAAGTTACTTCCTCTTTACATCAGTGCATAATTTAGAGAATTCAACAACAACTATTGCGACATATTTCGACCAATATATTATTACTGACTTTCAATGAGATGTTTTGATTTGAATTACTTTTGATGATGAAATGGCTAGCGGTAAATTGATGTAACTGATGAGTTTGAACATGGACTATGGTTTGAAAATGTCTATTTGTATAATGATTGATTGACTTTAGTGATTGATTGATTGATTGATTGATTGATTGATTGATTGATTGATTGATTGATTGATTGATTGATTGATTGATTGATTGATTGATTGATTTGGTTTGGGGGCGAATAAGTGCTTGATTTAAATGACTGAATGATTGTTTTCAGTGATATATGGATTTCAACTATTCTTCAGTTTATCATCAAGTTGCATAACACGTTTTCACTACTCATTTTAATCAAACGAAAATAAAAACGAAAAAATAGACGGCCAAGAGAAAGTCAATTTTACCAGTTTTGCAAAGTGGATCTCCGTATCCTTCAACGCATTTGCATGTATATCCGTTGACACCGTCAACGCAAGTGCCTCCATTTTGACACGGGCTGCTGGCACATTTATTGATGTCTATAAGAATAAGCATGTTAACTCAGCAATATGATCTTGACTAATCAAGGGTCATCAGACTTCTGATCGCAATATTCAGGCATTATATTACTAAGATGATGCAAGGCCAATGACATTTTCAAAAAAGGACGTTTCTTGAATTGCGTTTGGCGAGGTCGCAAATAAATTTTCAGGATAGGCTTTTGACCCATCTACCTATAATCGCAAATGTCCCCTGATCTTGCAACCTTGTTTACCAAATTAGCTGTCATATCAATATAAAACAATAACAATTTTAAATATCTTATCTTCCTTCAGACATGTCTAATACACGAACTAATAGCAGTATAAAAATACCAGAGTTCAAACTTTAATTCAGAAGCTATCTAAATCAGAAGCTATCTAAACGAATTATTTTATAAATGACAATGTTTTCTTCTTCTTTTTGCAAAATTTCAGAATGCACAAAATACCTGATTGTTTCTTGACCCAAATAATGAGATTGGACTTCTCGGCTGGAAAATCATGTTGATCAGTCAATCTATAAAACTTCTGATTCTTGACATCCTTAATAACAAAGCGGCATGACTTGTCCATGCTGCATTGATGGAAAGTCTTATGAAACATGCTTGTCATTGTCTGTGATGGGTTATGAACTTCTTCGAAAACAGCTTTACTTGAACTATCGATTTCGATTGCCATCATTGTAGCAAAGCAAAACAATGAAACTAGTAGCGTCAAGTGCATTGAAACTCCAATGATGGGCAATAGATCTGTTGACATGGTCCCTAAAAGGTGAAACTTTTGTCATTTCGTAAATTTCGCAAAGGTTTTACGTCTCAAATCCTTCTATAAAATAAGCGTGGTTTATGCAGATAACAAAGTATGAGAAAGCAAGAAACATGCTGGAAAGAAGGTGGCAGACAATAAAGATTTATTAACGTACGTAAGTTATAGATAGTTTTTGCAGGCTATAGCTGATTTTGACTCGCAACTTGTGTTCTCCAGATGGATATCTTGATTTCAAACTCACAGTTTCCTGTTAAATGTAACCGGTAGATTCGGTAGCAACCTTCAATACTTTAGGTTAACCCCAAGCCAGCTTTAAAATGCTTTCGTGTAGATGCAGATTACCAACAACGTATGATAACATTTTATCATGTGCTTTGTCTTGAAAACCAAGGTAATCGAGTGACCGACTCACCTCTTACCATTCCACCGAGGAATAACCAATATAAAACTTACTTTATAGTTGAAGTTATCTTCTAGCTTCCAGTGTTGCTTTTGCTTCGTTCTTCTTTGATTCTTCTTTGAAGCTAACCTCACGCATTATTAATTAAGCATTACTAGCTTACTTACATTTGCATAATTAATGTAAGTTTTAAAGCAAACTCTTCGGTTGCCTAGTGTCATAGAAACAGTTTCAATGATACCCACACATGGAAAACAGTTTGATTTAGTTCTTCAATTGAGGTATCTATCTACTTCGAAGATTTGTCAGCTTTCAGGCAAAAGCTTAGAAACAATTGTTGGAGAAATAAATTTCCAAACCACTATTCCAGACTTATTTTTGAGATTTTTGAAAATCTAATCGTCTTTGCCCCATTTATCAGAACCTTGGATTTCTAATTGAAAAGAAAATGACTGGAAGACCTTGATTTTTAAAAATCTTTCAAAAATTCTGTTGATACATTCATGATGCCTATTAGCTCTATTCTATGTTAGTTTGTCATCTTGTAAACCCATCACTATCTTAATTTCATTTCATTTTTTATTCTTGATAGCTTCGTCTAGCTCTTCATAGAAGACTTCAAAATTACTTTCGTCGCTAGGCTAGACACTGCAAAGGCTAGCCAATGCATACTACAAGGTGGACGTGGGATGATTGCCTTTTATCTTGAACTTGCAGACAGCCTTTCCTTTTGCATGGTCGTAGCTCTTCCACGTTTCCTTAAAGGTGACTTTAATAGCCCTGCTACCTCAAATGACAATATATCATGGTCTAAATTAGCCCTACTTCAAAGTATTTACGGAAGAATCATTCAAATCGTGTTATCCGGGACTTTTTAAGATTTCTTCACCTTTGAGTTGCTTTTTTAAATAGCAGTTTCAGAGAAAAATGTCAAAACAGTTTTAAATAAGTTATGAAAGTTTTTAGCCCTACCGCTTGAAAAATATATCCTCCCATCAATAAATCTACTTTTTTCTAAATTACTAGAGTGATGATGCATTTGATATAGTTTAGGAAGGTCTTTCAAAGGCAATCATTGGATATCAAAGTAAAGGTTGTTAGTTGTATCAATCACATGCTTTCTGATTGGCCATTAATGATAGCATTGATGCAAGGAATACTGCATAAGGCCAGAATTTGTCCAACATATTTTCTATCTTTGAACATTCATTGCTTTACAATTACCATTTAACGATAATGAATCAATGCTCTAAATAAATCTAAAAATCCTCTTTCACAGCGGTTTCAAGCTTATCCGATGTTTAAACTCTGACAGACAGCGCTGACAGAGAAAGACTAATTTAGTATTCCATGTTTCCGCTTTTCTGTGCTTTTTATGGCCATGTACGAACCTACTCTTTAATGAAACAGTAGACTTTCTACGATAAATTTTTGAAACAAGAAATGTACATCATGATTTGCGAACTAAAAATAATCTTTGCATTCCAAAAGCCAGGACAACTTCTTATGGTATAGAAACTGTGAGATATTTAGGTCAAAAACTGTGGCAAACACTACCTTACAGTATAAGAGAGTCCCAATCATTGGCAACAATTAAAAAAGGATTAAGAGCACACCCTATAGAATGCGACTGTAGATTGTGTAAAATATTTATTGCTGGATTAGGTTTTATTCAGAACATTATACCATAAACATTTTTAATATTGTAACGTTGCATAAACATTTTAGCGCTATACCATATCAGTCGTTGCATAAATATTTTTAATATTGTATCATATATTTATTTAATACTAATTCTTTATAGATAGTTGACCTTAATTAGCTTCTTTATTAGCTATCATACGTTCATTTAGTAGGCCAACTTTAAACAAATTATTTATAATTATTATTATATTATAATCAACCAATCAGTCACTGCAATCACTTCAATCACTGCACTACAATCAATTAATCCTTCAATCAATAAATACATCTCATATAATGCTTTCTGGGTACATTCTGTTAGTTTCAAAGAACCAGAGAATGAAGGTGCAGGTTGCCTGTTCTTAATTTTTCAATAAACTTTAAGGCAAGATTAATCTTGCGTAAATTCTTTGGCAATATTCACTTCAAGGGAAGCCAAAACATTAGCAAATGACATTTCCTAAACGAAAACTTTTAATCAATAACATAACTAACAATAAATTTTTAGATATGATTTTTTTCGCGCTAATTTTTATTTACAATGCTAAACTTTAAAGTAAGAAAAATTAAGCTAAACTTAAATACAACTCTGACCAAGAGTTTTAATGGTCAGTGGTCATGACAATGTTTTCAAACCCCCAACTTGACAAGGTTCCGTACTTTTCAACCTTTTCTTCAGAATCTTTGCATCTTTTAAGCCCAAATTCATCGTCTTTTACGTGAAATGTAGCCTGTATGAGAGAAAAAGCCAGTTGAACGATCTGTTAAATAATTTTGATCAATTTCCTTGTACTTACTTTTTTGAGATTTCTTCTAAGATCTGAGTTTTGACTATGTGCCCTGGTTCAGTCATACCTGTATAGCTTTAAAATGGTCTATTAAGTTCTTTTGGTGATTACTACGAAATATTTTGTAATTTATTTTAAAAAATGTATTTTACAAGTAGCAAGCATTTGTATGTATTGAGAATCTTGCCTGTTTTGTAAACGGAATTTCTCCAGCCTCCACCACAATACATTCCAGTGCTATCTCGGCATTGTGAAGAGCAAGAGCTGTCTCCATCTATCCCGTATCTGTCATATGATGTTCCACAAAAGCATTGACTACCAGCTTGCAGCCCTGCGTATGCCTGATTGGATGCGAAACAAGCCTGTATGCAGTTAGCTGTAAGATGCCCTGCGGAAACGTCTAGCCCTCTCACATGCGGGAGTGCCCTCGTTCTACTATCTTTGTAGCAGCCGACGTAATCTCGAGCTGAAGTCAAGAAAAAGAATAGTATAAACCTCAAATGGGAATGCGATGAATTTTGAATCGCTTTAATATCTGTGAATTCTTTTTTCTTTCAGTTCCCTATGATCGTTTTTTTCAGATTTTTGCCAACAAGCTTGTAAGAAAAGAAGATTGTCAATTGAGAATGTCTTGAGTGATTGACTGTTTCGCCGATCGATTAAAAGACTGGTTCAACGATCGATTAATTGATTTGGGATGATTAAATGACTGATTTATGTGATTAAATGATTGTTTGTAATGATAAATGGATTGATTTATGCCTTTGTATCTATTCGTCAGTTATCATTAAGTTGCATAAAATACTTCCAGTCCTCATTTTCATCAAACAGAAATAAAAGAATATACGGCAAAGAAAAATGCAATCTTATCAGTGTCACAGAGTAGACCTATTTTGCCATTATAACATCTGCAAGGAAACCTGTTGACACCATTAATGCAAGTGGTTCCAACACGACATGGGTTGCTTGCACATTTATTAATATCTTAGAATATAATATACTGTAGCTCTGCACAAAATGGATCACTTTGAAAATAGATGCTAGAACTCTCCTGTAAATATTACCAAAAGCCATTTTTATCAATTTTATCATCAGATCTAGAAAACCACTGTAAGACTCGCTTTCTGAGATAGACTTTCAAACATAACGATTGTGTTACCATTACCTGCTAATATCAACCACATCAATATTATAATTTGGGATTAATATTAACAAATAAAAGCTGTTCTAAATACTACTTTGCATCTTGTGAGATTCGACTTCTGTTAAGCAGATAAAGAGCTTCAAGTCTGAAACCTTCTTGATTTTCAAAGAAGAATGATTTGTAGATATAAGAACAGTAAAATCGATCGAAATATAAGGGAAAAGGACTATTTGAAGAAG